ATGCTACCTTAGTCTACGTCACCGCCTAATCTATGCCTCTCAGCTTTGCACCTAAAGATATTGGTGTTGCATCTGGTGGTGGCAAATGACCAGATCCAAGAAGGTTGGACTTACAATTACTTAGTGTCTGTTTGGAACGCTCCTGCAAACCATGTTTTATTTTCGTAAAACACAAAAGTAGCCCTGCGATTTACTTAAAGTAAAATGCAGTCCCTGAAAATACTTTTTTTCGACAATTTAAAAGAAACATTTGTCCATTTTTCATTGGGGGGGGGTGAAATCCGACATGGACTTGTTTGTTGAAAGTAGCTTAACAATATTACTTCTTGGAAAACCAACTGTTGCACGTTGAATTTTCATGGCCGTTACAGATTGCTGTTAATGGTAAAAATTTTAACCATTCGGCAAGAGATGCATGGGAGTTATTCCAGTCAACTGGAGTTGAAGCACTCGTAGCCTATGATTGTTCTGGAGCTGTCCTGCTTATGGGCACCATTTTCGGTGGGCTGATTACTGGAACTTGCTCTGGTGTGTGGGCATGGATCAAATGGAGGGACAGAGTACTTATGATTGGATCCACGTCTATGTTGATGGGGATGGTCTTGGTAAGTATACAGTCCATCCAGCCTCGAGGTTCTTTCCATACATCACAAAACCTACTGGTGCTACTCTTTGCTTTTCAATTTCTTGTCTTATGTTCAGCGTCATTGCAGTGGCTGACACATACTGAAGTAAATGCATTTGTGCTTCATAGCTTCCTGTTTATCATATTTTTGCGATTGTTGACTATTGAAATCCATTTGGACCACACATCGTTTAAAGGTCAAATGGTAATAAAAGTTGGCAGCTTGGTTCTGAAGGTTTGCAGTACATGAGTAGAGTTTGGTTGAGGGGAGAGAATAAAAGTGGGAACTTAATGACCAAGAATTGGAATTTGACATGACAAGGAAGTAATAGGATATCTCAGAAGATATATTTACACTGTCTTATTCAAGCTAATAAATAGTGATGTACAGTGAAGGCTGCTAGTAGAAAATCCTAATATGACATGAAGCATGTACTGTTTCAGGTAGGAGTGGCAATGGTAGTGGTGGAAAGTGCTGTTACATCCATTTACATCTGCTATGCAGAAGACCCCTCATTGATTCATAGATGGGACACTGAATTTTTCAACCAGATGTCTGAGACACTGCATCAGCGACTTCAACATCGCAGCGCACGAGCTAGTGAGGTTAGAATATTATATCGGCTTGATGGGCTGGTTCAAGAAAATGCTTCAATTTAGGAATCACCTTCATTTATCCCACGTGAATTACTTTGCGTTTTCCTCCTCTTGCTTTCGTGGTTTGCCACAGGGTAATCGTTGTGTTTTTATGTTGCAAGTTATACAGGAACGGTAGAAAGAGTGTGTGCGGCTTTTTGTTGTTGTGGTACTAGTGTTGTGTTGAGAAGTTCATATTTGAACATGGTCTTCAATTTGTACCAGTGAAACATTAGACAAGGGAGAAAAGAATTGTAGCTTTTTTACAGTGTATCTTGGTCATCTTTGTGTATGTATTTACTTTACAAACTGCAAACTGTACAGTTTACCTATGTTTGATCGAAATAAAATTACAGTTTCATTGTTGAGATGGCAGTTGCTTTGTGTTTCTTTTGGTTTGTTTCTTCTTTCAACTTCAGGCTAGAAGATTCTTCTAGTCATTACAATTTTACTCGGCAACTTAATACTAAATATTTACTCATTCTAGTGCTTTCAATTTGTTAAAACATAAAACATGTTAAGCAGTATTTGGGATGTTAGTTTGCAAAGCATCAAATATGAGTTGCCGATTAAAAAACCATTCATTTCATTATATGTGAATAACAGTGAACAAAGGATTTATAGATGCTCCTCTAGTCTTATGTATAAAAGTTATTTTTTACATGTTTTACTAGTATTAAGAAAAACTTTAAAAATCATTAATTCTGTCTTAAAATTTAATAAATTATCAATTTTATTCTTATTAAATATACACACTTCAATAACATATTTTTTCTCTCCAACATTTAATTGAAGATAAAAAAGAAAATTTATAATAAAAATTTGATAATATGACTTATAAATAAAATCAAAAAAATTTTTTCTTTGCCTTATAAATAAGACTAGAGGGAGTCTAACAAGCATTGATCTTGGCATCAGAGGCCATGATTTTTAACACTGAGATTTCAGAATTGAGTTGAATGAAAAAACTGTTTTTGGGAGAGTTGTCCGTAATTAAGTTTAACAATATATGACTCAATTACATAACCGTTCTAAAAAATATATATATTCCTTTGCATTTTGCCTCTTCATTTCTAGCTGTTAAGGCACTTTTTCAGTCGTAGGACTATAATCATATCTTGGCCAAAGCAAATACACTTCATCATTTAAGAAAGCTTCCACTCACATGATTATTGTTGACTCACACAGAAAGACCCCAACTTTACAGCTCACGCTTTCATGGTGTCTTGTGTGCTTCCCTTCTTTCATGTACCTAACAACAAGAAGTCTCATCTTAACAGGAGAGGTCAAGTATATAGATTGTACGAAACTATTATGTTATATGGGCAGTCAATGTTTGATCATATTGTTTAATAAAAGGTCCGGCTCAATAATTTTATTAAATATTATTCTCTTTGATTTCTTTTATATCTGTCTTTACAAGATCTGAGACTATTATTTATATTTGTTTCACCTTTTTTATCAGTCACTAGCACATTTCAATAAATGATTTTCTACTATCTACTTCTCAATAAATGTCACGTATTTTTCTTTGTATATATATCACACTAAGTTTAAAATAAATTCAATTATTTGTAGCTTATAGAAAATGCAACTAAATATAATTTTATAACACATATTGATATTGATTGCTTTAGTTTTGGTTAGTTTTTTTCCTGATATATGCAGAATTGATGATAGATTTTGCCATTTTGTTGCTTATATTATGGTTATTGGTGAACAATCAAATCCCAGCAAATACAGTAAGTTGAACAGCACCAACTACTCATCTTAAAAGAAGTTTCATTTTTAGGACTTGCTTCTCTTCAGCTTTAATTTCGGCTTTTAGAATCACCCCCTCACTATTACTACAAGTTTTCAGGTTTGGACGCTGATTAATTAGATCTATTTGGGTTTTATTCTCCTAATTATAATAATGATTTTTACCAGTTCCGGCTGTTTTTTATCAGTTTTTCAAATAGCCTATATGTTAGGCCCAATTTTGAAAGTTCTCTAAGACTGAGTTAGGATTTGATTCTTTGGTTCAAGTGCTTTTAACTTAAGAGGCCTGTCATCAGTTGCTAATTCTAATTCCAGACGAAAGGATACATCATAAATATTTTTTCCATACATACAGACACACATATATATAAGTAATGAGATATTGCAATGAGAGGCAAACGTAAATTAAATTATGTAAATCAGTAACATTTTGTGAGGAATAATTAAGTCAAATCACCAATATCATCAACACTTCTTTTGGACCAAAATATAAGGTATCTTTTAGAAACTCTGCAATTGAAAAGATGTAATTTTTTTTAAGAGAGTTTCACCTAACTTTTTTTTTTTAAAATCATAAAGTAGTGGCCAGTGATAATGCAAATAAGGAGTTACTCCTTTAATTCTATTAATATGGTAAAATAGAGTTGGGAATATGGGCTAACTTAGACCATAGAGGTTGGCCCATATGGATTATGTAAAATGGGGTTATGTTGGGTTCAACTTATTTAAAATAAGTTTAAAAAATTTTAACCTAACCCAATTCATGGGTTGGCAGGTTAAATGAGCCAATCTACCAACCTATTTATTATTTGTTTCATAAATTTTTAAAAAATTATACTTAAATGAGAAGTTCTTTTAATGATATTCTATTCAATTAAAAAATTGGGAAAACATAATGATCAATTCCTATAATTTCATCGGGTTTTATTTTTAGTCCATGTAGTTTTTTTTTATTTTTAGTCCCTATGGTTTTAATTTTTTTTTTAGTGTTTTTAGTTTCTATAAGGACTGACAACATTGAAAAAATTACATGGACTAAAAACAAAATCTAATGAAACTATAGGGATCAAATATTATGTTTTTCCAAAAAAAAAAATACACATGAGATTCATCAATTTAATCATGATTTATTCCAAAATCCAATTGTCTTGTAGGGTTTTGGTGCTAAAACTCTCCTTTTTTATTTTTAATTTTATTTTATTTTTTATGAAATAATATGGGCTAAATGGATCAACCGTAATCCATTTGGGTCATAGGTTACTTGGTTTGGGCTAGAAAAGATTCATTTTTTGTGAGTCAATATTTTCCCAACGTAGCCCAACTTTTATAAGACTTTTATAACAGGATATCTGGGCCAACTCATATAAATTGACTCATATCTTGGCTCTAGCATAAAGAAAGAAAGTATTTATTTTGATTCTATTGATAAAATACATTAATTGTTAATGTATTTATTTTTATTTTTTTATCCTTATTAAATTAATGTTTGAAAGGCTATTAAATGGAAGAGTATTTCATTTTTAAAGAGGTTCAATAAATTTAAGGTTTTTCTTAGTTGCAATAAAAATGTTGACTTATATATAGGATTAAAGAAATATTTACTATTTATAAATTATAATGGGCATTCTCAAAATCATCGCAACATGCTTGCGACTTATGTATAATTTTATATATATAAATGATTTGATGATACGACTGACGAATTAACATGGAATTTTAATTTGGAAGATGATTCCAATGGTACAAACAAGAGCTTTATATATGGAATTGACCATAATAAAATACTGAAAACGTGAAAATCGGTAGGGCTTAGCTTAGGAGAGAATTAAGGGGACGTTTTCGGCATATCTATATATATAATGCCTGTGTTCTTCCTCGTATGGTTTGATCTTCTTCTTCTTGTTCAACATCATCATCATCACCATTTCAATATTATTGTAGCCACAGCTATTGCATTGGTTTTTGAAATGTTTGAAAAATGTATCACAGTGGGATGTATTCTCCATATCTGCAGACAAGTCCACCATATAATAACATTAACAACGCTCAACAAAACCAGCTGTATCAACCCTACGTGTACCCACCAATCATGCAACTTCCAGATACAACAACAGGACCTTGGTCTACAGGTCTCTGCATTTGTCCCGAGGATTGTCGGAGTTGCAAATACTCAATACATAATCCTTCTGAAACCAACTAATTAAGATTATCGACAATGTTGAGGTGGTCGTGTTTGAAATAACAGGTTGGTTACAATGTTTTGCCCATGAGTGACGTTCGGACGGGTATCAGAAGCCCTAGACTATGGCACAGTGCGTAAGTGTCCCTGAAACTAATGAAATCTAATGTTGTGAATGAATGATGTGAGTGAATGAACAGAATGTTGTGAATGAATGAAGCCTGTGTTGTGAGCGGAAGCCTGTACATGGTGCTGATGATAGGGTCGCTGCTGGGATGTTGCTGCGTGTGCACTTACTATTCCTGCTTCCACAGAACAAAGCTGAGGCAACAGTACTTGCTGGAGGAGCAGCCCTGCAATGATTTCTTCGTCCATTTCTTGCTGGAGGAGCTTCAGAACCGTGGCTACCTCATGTCCTAAGGTCTGATCATCAATCTCTCTCTCTCTCTCTCTCTCTCTCTCTCTCTCTTGTAATATGTTTATAAGTATAACAGACTATTTGCATTTTTGAAATCATGTTACATCAATTCAGTGAAGCCCCAGATGAGGAGATAAGGATAGCTTAATTTCTCAAATTATCAATTTGCTGTATATGTTGAAGTTGTCAATTATTACTTGATAATTGCCACTTGTCAGCTGTGGAGTTGTTTAATTAGCTAACCACTAAGTAACAATGAGAACATCAATAATTGACAATTTGAATAACTGACATAGACTTGTGAATAATTTTATGATTTCATGAGACTTTTGATTTGTATTTAGTTTGTTTATATTGGACTTGAGGGCGATTTTTCCTTGTATTTAAACGTACAATAAATAACCTAACATTTTTTGTTAAGACCGATGTCTATTACTAGTTTCATTCATAATTACTTTGGAAGTTATATATATACTAGACTCTAACTAGTTGGATTGAACTTGACTTGCCCTAAATAAGATTAGCTTTCCTTATAAAGACATGTTCTGCATGCATATAGACTTGAACACGAGACATCATGTTCAAGTAAAAAAAATGGTGTCCTTCTTAATTATTTTTTTCTCTGTTTTTTAATCTATATGAATGTGTGTGTGTCTGTATATGTATGTATGTAAGTATCATGTATGTATATGTTGATTTTTGTTTGGTAACATGAGGTTGACATTATGGTGTAGGGGGGCAAGGCAATGTTGAAAGGCAAAGACGAATGGCTCTGAATATTATGCAACCTGTTGGCTTACAAGTAGGCATGGTCCGTTAATTAGCAGTTTGTACATTTTTGTTCAGAGCATCTTCGGAAAAGGAAAAAAATTCTGCACAAATCTTTGTATATTTTTTTATTCATAAATGTCTTCGGCAAAATATAACGAATGTATGATTCTCTGATGAAAATATGATATTTGTATATATTTTGTAAACTATTATAAAAGTCATTGTACGTTGATCCCAATTACCTAACTGTGGGCGAGGTCGATTTTTAGATATCTTCCTACTCACAGCCTATAATATTGGATTATAATTTTCTTATATTAATTTACATGGTAAGATTATGTATGAGATTTTTAATTTTTATCATCAGTTGATGCTATAGAAATAATGTATGAGATCGTATCAGAAAATGCAAATAATGGATAAGACACTTGCTAAGCCTTTTGGGCCTGGGGTTGTTTCATTTACGCTTAAGACAATTAAGGTAAAGCCCAAGATTTTTTTGTTTTTTGAAAATAATTTTGATCTCATAATAAGGCACTTCCAATTCTAATTATGTATAATATGTATGTATGTATAGATAATACGGGCTAAAAAGATGAAGTGTAATTGGATAAAATGGATACTTTGCCCGGGAAAAAAAAAACAATAAAAAAAGGATTTGATTGGAAAAATGCCTGAATCTGGTTGATGTGTCTTATTGCAAGTCATTTGATCAAATTGACGGCGGTAATTGATTTGGGTGCAAAACAGTAAATTCCTTAGTTTGAACTAATTACGTCTCAATTAATGAGACACTTTTTGAAGATTGAATATTTTAAAATATAAAATATTTTAATAAAAATAAAATTTTATTAATAAAATTTTTTAATATTATCTTTTATATTATATTTTCTTTCTCTAAAATTTTTTTGTATTAAATGAGAATCCATCTTGGGTGCTTGTCACTTATCCTCATCCGGTTGAAAAATCTGAATAATTTAAATTTAAAGAATTAATTTAATATTTTTATTTTATATTTTTTAAAATAAAAATTTATAAAATATTATAAAAAAGTTTTAATAAATCTTTTCATGACTAATTGAATCTATATTTAATCTGGAGGGTCTAATTTGATACTAAAATTTTTATATTTTTTTATATTTATTATTTAAAAGTATTCTGTACAACCCAAATTTAAAATTTCTAACTTGTAATTTTTTAAAAAATATTTTTAAAAAATTTATAGATAAAAGATTATATATTTTATTTTTTAATATTGCATTCATCAAAATAAAAAATAAAAAATTAAAATTTGAACCTTGCAGATAAAAATTTGATATTGAATCTGGACCGTTCAGAATACATGTAGATAATTGATTTTAAAAAATTATAATACTAAATTAGATCAATACTATCCAAATTGACGATAAACATAATTATAAAAAAGTATAAATTTTTATTTTAATAAATATAAAATTAAATTAAAATAAAAAAATAAAAAATTTGGGTCATCCCTAATTTCTTTTGACCGATGAGCACCTTAGTGCTCAACAACTTGCTAAGCACGAAGAAGAACCCATTAAATGAATAATATTTTTAAAAGTTTATATTTTTGTCTTAAAAAAATAAAGTTGTAAAGTGTATTAAATGAGTTTTATTAGTTTGTGTGATTTTTTTTAACAAGTATCTTATAAATTAGGATGGTGAAATTACCTAATTTTGTTGCCTTGCCACTTATTACAATCTTAAAACTAATAATATGATTAGTTGATAAACTAAGCATAGTGACAACAAAGCCAAAAATAAAAACAATGAACCAAAGTGAGTAACAATTAAGCATTAATATTATGTTTAGAGATTATGTCAAACATGTTGATGACCTAACTAAATTTGCTTAGACACTTACTTCAAAAGACTATTTCTTTAACCATCCTCCTCAGCTTATTCGAGAAGAGGAGGAAGGGGAGAGACATGATTTATTGAATGTATCTTGATCTTCTAAACTTGTGCTAAATGTAAATTTAGTTGTTTGTGTATAATGTTATATAGACTTATGTTATTTGTCCAGAAAAAAAAGAGAGAATTACAGTGAGGCTCTTCTCAAAAAAACTAATCATGAACAAGGATTAATAACAAATTTCATTCAAGAAACAACAAGTCATGTTTTCATATTTTAATAACAATTCATTCTGAATTGATCTTTATTTATAATAAATTTTTTTGAAAAGAGATTGGCTGTAGTTCTCCCCAAAAAATATAACTTTATATTTCAAAATCCTTAAGATAAGATGCGAAGTCCAAGGAATTGAGTTGTCAAACAAAAAATCGATGAAATTAGATAAGAGGCCGTAATGCATCGCACACTGTGGAAAATGAACCACAATGTTTATATGTAGCTTGTTAATAGTAAAACTAAAACCTATTACAAATTTCATGTTATATTTAGACATTTTCTTTATCCAAGATAAATCTTACTATTCATAATTTAAAATAACGTACTACAAATTTTATATTTTCTATTGAAATATTGGTATTATACTAGAGTAGATTTGTGCATGCCTAACGAACAATTTAGCATACAATAATATATTTCTCATTTCCACCATTCATTTTAATTTAATTTAAATCATTATATTTTAATTTGGATGGATTAAATTTTATACACTTTTTGATCGTTTTTAATTTAATTAAATAAACTGTGATTCACGTTCTTTAAGGTTCTTAGCTAAATTATTTGATCAACATCTTAATCCGTCAAGATATAATCATTCATCATCTTTAACGCATGTCACACCCAACCATGTTTCCCAAAAATAAAAATAAAAAAGGAATCTAAACTAATTTTCTTTAGACATACACCAATGACCAATCAATTCGAGGTCTTAAAATAAGTCCATGCATTCCAAAAGCTGTACAAATCTGAAGACAAACTCATTAGTGTACTCAAATGAAGGAAAAAAAAAACATCATTTGAACATGATAGATAATAGTATTTCACGCAAAGCATGTGGGAAAGAGAGAAGAAATGACATAAAAAAATTAATTATATTAGTGTCTGCTTTTTTCTTTTTCTATTATTCTTTATGCCTTTTCTAAAATTATAAAGGATTTTTTTATGAGGGACCCACACCCATATTTACAACTTACAATCTTTTCCGGTAGTAGGTAAAGATATTTACGCGTCCACACCTATGGAGGATATCAACTTTGACCTTTATTTGAAACGTGAAGAAAATAGAAATAAGATAAAACTAGGAGAAAAAGTGTTTTTCACTCTAATTTTCTTCGAATTTTTTCATGGAAAAAAGAGAAAGTAAAAGAAAAACTTTATACTAAGAAGAAAAAATTATTTTTATTTCACTTTTTTTCAATATTTTTTCTCTTTTTATTTTCTTTTCATCTCAAACAAAACGCGGCGCTTAGACGAATCCACAAAAAAAAAAAAAAGCGGCGCTGAGTGCCACACGTAATATGAAGTATTTATTATCATTTATTAATACTCAATTCAGATTTAGGTTATACTCCAAACAAAAGGTAAAGCACTTTCAACGTATCTGTTTTTCATTACAAAAGTTGAGATCGATGATAACCAAACTAGACGCTAAGTAAGAACTATCAAATCTTTTCCATTCCATGTTGGTTTTTACCTCTTTATACTAACACAGTATATATATTTTATATATATATATATATATATAGACACACAACACAAATGCTTGGATAAATAAGTGCAGAAAAGAGAATGTGAATGAATGAAGTGCAGAATTGTAGAACAGATCATAGACCCATGATGAAGGATTTGATACGAGCCATCAATTCTTGTGTTTGGTTCTGTGACATCTGAGGTTTGCTCAGAATCTGAAACGCATGGCCTACTCCTTTGCACACCAAGTGTTCGACCTTTTTCCCAGCTCGTACGAGAGCACCACACAACTCCAAGTTCTGATCTTTCAATATATCCAACTCCGACACACACACCAACACAGGACAAAGCCTCAATTCCTCCAATCTCACCGACCCTTTTCCCATTGGGTTGCACCATTCATGGTCACGGTTCGAACCACGAGGCAGAGCCAATCGCCAGTACGTGTCCGAAGCAGCCAAGCTCAGTGCAGAGCTCGATGGAGCTTCACCCATCTTCTTCTCTGATGCTGTTCTTGCTTCTCCTCCAAAGAAAGGTTGTATCAGAATCATACCCTTCACGTCCAAAGGCCTTATGGCTGATGATGAAGTTTCGTGTGTTGACAGATTTAAGGCTACATGATAGGCTATATTGGCACCAGCACTGTCTCCTGCTAGGAAGATTCTAGAAAAGTTGCATTTTTGAATCCACCATTGACTAGCTACATCGTCACAGTGGTATCGGATTTGGTGTTTGATCCAGATCAGGGATTTGAAACCATCTTCATAAGCAGCAGGAAGAGGGTTTTCTGGGGCTAGACGATAATTTAGTGACATGATCAGGCAGTTAAGTTTGGATGAGAGCTTAGAGAGGAACTCGTGGTAACAGAGCCAAGAGGCAGAACCAACACAGAAGCCACCACCATGGAAATAGATCAGTAAAGGAAGCTTCTGGTGAGGATTATGGTGAGAATTTGTGGTGTTAGGGACATAGAAACGTGCCCAAGTGCCTGTAAAATTGTCAATGGCCATGTCTTTTGAGGTCACGTTGAGATCTGGACAAGGAGAAGCTGGGACACAGGGCACAATCTGGGGTCGCTCCACGTGTCCATCTTTATGTACTATGATGAGCCTTTCAATTTCCTCAAGCACACCGCCATGGTGGTGGTGGTGTTGATGGTAGATTTCTTTGCTTCTGTATTGACGGCCATGGCCATGGCTTGATGTGGTCTTTGTTTTCATGTAGCGGGAGAGGGAAAGGGAGGGGGAAGGGGGGGGGGGGGGGGAGAGAGAGAGAGGTTGCTAAAAGAAACAAAGAGTTTGGAAAATATTTGAAGTGACAGGTTTGAACTTTGAAGCCTTACCGGTTACCAGACAAATGGCCCTTATATAATTATAGACACACGCACGCACGCGCACACACACTAAAAGGCATGGAAGAAAAGCGCGTGAATGTACAGATGGTCGCCCTTGTGTTTCTTCTGACGTTGTCTCATCTATTTTGAAGATTCTAATTCCAATTACTAATCACCCTGATTGTATCAAGTGGTCTAGAAATTTCTTAGGGAATTATTCGTTCAAGGATGTTTACAAATTCTGCCTTCAACCTACTGTTTCTGATCCACCTCCTTTTACAGACTGGTCTTTGATTTAATCATTAAAAATTCAGTCAAGAATTAAGGTTTTTCTTTAGAAAATTACTTGGCGACTACTTCCAACTTCCTCTTTCTTAAAATTTCATCATATTCCTATTGAGGAAATTTGTGTTTTTTGTAGAATAAGTGATGAAAGTTTGGATCGTTTGTTTCTGCATTGCAGTTTTGCTAAAGCTTGTTGGTTTGCGAGTCACTTAAATTTTATAATTAATACTCAACCATCATGGGATTTACTACATTGGTTCTCTGCATGGTTAATCACTTCAAGATCATAAAGATAATCCAAATGTGTCTGATATTTTACCATTTAATATTTTAAACATAATTTGGTATCTCCGAAATCAGAGTTGTTTTGCAAGTAAATCTTTTATTCCGCAGGATGTTATCACTCAAGCAACATCAAGAGCAGCTGAATTCTTAAGGAACATTTCTATTTCATCGAACAGATCAAGGGTGCTAGTGTGGAGACAATCTCAGACTCAGATGGCGGACAAACAGTCCTTTCAAAAGCAATTTCAATAAAGTTGGATGATTGAGTTCACTCACTTTAAGAAATGAAGGTTTAAGAGAACTATGCAAATAACTATTTTCTGGAAGGGCTCGATCATTCATTTTTGGAGATATTTCTTATTTACTCGAATTAAAAAATTTCAACTTCAGATGGAGCGTCTTCATAATGTTATCATTTTCTTACAAGAACAAAATAATACTTCTAGTTATTGTGGTTCTATTATAATATTACGCTGCATAAATCTTCATATATTAAGTTTATAATTGGACATAGTAAGATATCATGGCTTTTGCAATCTTTACAAAAAGGATATTGGTGTCTTAAATAGGACAATATAATGTCGTAATTTTTATTATTGAATTTAAGTTTTTGGTTTTCATGAAAAAGTAATTAGCCTAATTTATTTAACTCTTGTAAAACATTACTATTTAATAGTATTTCCAACCGAAATTTTAGCGATGCACCAAATGATTGTTAAGAATAATTATGAAATTATGTATTCAGATATTTAAAAAAAGTTAAAAATAATTTTATATGTATTTTCAATTATATAGGAGAGTTGTCCTAATTAAATTTGGTAATGTTTAGCTTGAATCTGGTTTAATAATATCACATGTCAGATAATTATATTAAATTTATAAAAAAAAACTTTAACAAATCATATTATTTATAAATACACAAGATTTGACAAAAGAACATATCTTGTTATATATATGTATGTATGTATGTATGTATATAACTATATTGAAAGGGAAGAAGAATGACCAGTGAAATTGTGAGCAATGTTTTAAAATCCCATTGACCGATAAACCAAAAAAAATTAATGAGTTATGGTTCTTATGATTTAACCGATTAAATTGGTGGCCAAATGATGATATAACAATTAAATAAAAAAAATATTTACATGAAAAAATAGGTTAACAAGATTCCATCTTTTGGGGTTTCAAATTTTTTTTAAGTCTTCAAAGACCCTTCTAGTCAAAACGGGTTAATCCAAATCAATTACTAAAACTAGGCAAATAGTTGAACCAATTGTTTTCTTCTCCAACCGACGGTTTAACCATTTAGGTTGATTTAGGTCTGAAAACATTGATAGTGAAAATGACCAAGCTTTGTTAAGTGTTTTTTTTTAACATAATTACATATCTAAGACTTAAACTTGAGATGGGTGTTATAACTACCAACACTTTTATGTGACAAGTGAAACCTTATCTTGAATGAGAGGAAGAGATGAGTGAATCTTTATGTGACAAGTGGGTAATAGGGATATGTCCACCTGAATTCAAATGTGGCGGGGCATACTTACGTATGTGACTGCCTTGGCCTACCATTTTCGGAATTCAACGCACCTGAACATACAAAAAAAGAAGCCTACTTGAAAAAATATCCATACAATTTTTTAGTTTTGACTTTGAATTTTATAAGAATTAAAATTGAAATATGTTTTATTATAGAGAAATTAATAATAATAATTTTGTATTGTTTTCAATTAAGTGATAAAAATTTAAAATATTTTTTGTCACAAATTAATTTCTTTAATATTAGATTCAGCGAACCAAATAAAAATCTTGCAGAAAAGGTAGACAAATCACTTTTGTGTGAAAATTAAATTAATTAGGTGAGATATGATGGTGTTTGTTTGCCACTGTTAAGTTTCAAAAATGATGGTAAGCTGCACATTAAACAGTATGAGTGCATAAATTAGATGACTCGGTTTCACACGCCAGTCTCACATATTTGACCTTCGTCAATATAATCATAATCCCCCTTTCATTTTACATGTCACTTCTTTTTAATATAATTTAAATAATCAAGTCAATCTATTACCCTTCAGTCATTATATATATAGCCCATATATATATATATATATCCATTCACCTATTTACCCATATTATCTCTTCTAATCACAATATAAGTCATTTTTTTAAAAACTTTACTTAATCCAAAATATAAGACATATGATAGCTGTTATATAAATTTTTTCAATTACTCTCTTACTTTGTCAAGTAATTAATGAGAGTGCTTTAAATAAGTAAAATGTCATATTTAGAAGCACGTTTAGAAGGATGTAAATTTAAAAAAAAAAAATTTTAATCAAATTTTTTTTTTTCGAAAGAACGTAAGCAGCCGCAACACATTTTACTATAGGACTAGTATCTGTCGGTAATAGTAAAAATACGTGATTTTCATTTGCTTTATCGAGTGGATGATTAGATCAAGCCATGTTCTATATAAAAATGTGCCGAATTGAGGAAGCATAACCAAATTTAACCAACTTAAGAAACTGTAGTTATAGCATTAAAATTGTTAAAAAAATGCAACTTTCTAATTTTTTTTTCTTTGTAATTAATTAATAATCACGCTAAATTGCTGTATAGTGGTTCAATTTATAATAAATAAAAAAGAAGTAAAATTGAAAAGAATAATTAACTACTCTAATTTTATCTTATATTAAGGACCAAATTAAAAAAGTTTTCAAAATTTATCTTATATTAAGGACCGGAGGAAGCAGGAAAGAGGAGGGAACATGTTGACAAAGGAAGCAGCGAAAGCATTGACAATGTTGACATGCCATGAAGAAACAAGAAAGACAGAGCACAAATAATGGTGATAGTGGAATAACCCACAATACTATGGCCCCATCTTCTTCACTTTCTGGTTGCCTCCCACAATTAACCATCATCATTGCATTGTAATTAATTCATTTACATCACATCTACATTTTTGTGGCACAGCAAGTAATTAAGTCAACGATCATTAAAGTATTGAACAATTGATTGGATCAATCATTAAATCAGTCAAGATATTAGTTCAAAATTAGTTAATCAGACATCTTATGAAAAACATTAAACTTATCAAGATACTAGCTTAATAGTTTATCAGTTCACCTAGAGCCGGATTAACTTGATTTTCATTACTATGATGATCCTTTTAATTCTATAAAGAATGGTAACTACTTATTTATTTAGAGTATTGTCATTAAGTTTAATTAAGCTAGCTCATTAGCAAATAATCGATCAATAAACTCACGCATGTAGGTCGTAGTACTAGCTAAGTCGATTGGAAAAGATAAAGTATTCTTAAAGCAAAGTCTCAAATTTAAACATTGTAAAAGGAGAAAATCATGTTGGAGGAGCTTGTTTGAACATTAATTGACGTACTCAATTCAATTGTGAATCAATTGGTACTACTAAATACTAAAGAGTTTATAAAAATAATAACATTAGAAACTAAAAGAAGGCCAAAGGTACTTTGTATAAGATTTTAGTTTGATTCCTTAATTTTAAAAAGTATATTTTTTTTAATTTACATGGGGTATTTGTTATACCACTTTTCACCCAAATTAATTCAAACCCCTGCTATGTGCCACCATTATTACCCATGGCAAGCTCACAGGTATTTTGGAGATATTTTTAACATGTTTATTTAACACAAGTGTATCTCATAGGAATCGAACTTGAGCCCCATAATAAGCTAATTTAACCCTCTCAACTAATACAATTAAGTGCCTTGATCAGTATTTATAAAGTGTATTTTCAATCACTAAACTCTAAGACCAGTAGTCTCAAATGATGGTATATATTTTGTACCAATCATTACCATTAAAAAAACTAAATTTCATATATTAATATTTAGAAATATTTTATCAATATTTACAATTTCAATGTCAACATTTTTTATTAATGAAACTAATAATATTAAGATTAAAAGAGTTAAAAAGATATTTTATAAAATTTAAAAAATAAAATATTAAAATAAAGCCTTTGAATTAAATTAAAGGACAAAAATATAATTTTACCCTAAAAAAATCACATAAATCGTAGGGTTTGGTTTGGAAGGGGGGACAGTTAGAAGAAAGACTCCTATAGTCCTATTTAGCTCCAATAACACTTAAATTATAAAATACTCCTTCCATCCTAATTTATAAATGCTTTTAAAAAAATTAATATTTTAAAATATAAGACACTTTAATAAAAGTAATGTTTTATGAATGATATTTTTCTATTGTTACTCTTTCAATTACATTTTGATCTCTTTTTTTAATATTCTTTCACAATATAGAGTATTAAATGAAGAGATTTTTTATTCTTATTTTTATTTTTAAAAAATAAAATTGTAAAGTATATTTAATGAGTTTCATTAATATGTAAAATTTTACTCAAAAATATTTTATAATTTTGAACAGAGGCAATAATATATTACCAAATACCAAATAGTAGCATTTAAAATTAAAAAAAAAAAAATATCATACCATCTAGAACAATCATGACAATATAATGTTTTGGTTCATTTCTTTATTGACATGTTTTAATTTTAATTAAACATTGCAAAAGTTTAATTCAAACACTCGACTGATTTTATTTTTACCGTACAAGCTAGCCGTATGATCTATGTCCCTTAATTAACTATATTAAAGAGGTTAACTAGCGTGAGGATGATATAATTATTATTAACAATGAAATACTTATTTTCACATGTTAATTAGAATGAATTTAGAGAATGTAAAATAAATTTGAATAATACTCAGATAGAAATTGTATCGGTACCTAGCTAGCTAGTGCATATCATAAAAAGATGCACTAAGTCGAAAGCTAAAGATTTGAGGATGACCATAAAAGTGGTGCTAAGTGGGTGAGTTGGACTAATTGTGAGGTCAAATCTCATCCTTCTAATGTCTTCTTTGTTATTATTTGCTTTTGAGAAAAATATAACACACCCTCTTCTCACTTGTGAGCTTATTATTGCACACCACATCATGTTCCAAAGAAAAACTTTCATGTTTCAACCCTCACTTTTCTGGGGACTGTTGAACATAATTTCTTCCAATATATGCGTTGATATAATTGTCCACGTCTGTTCTAGTAGTAGCGCTACCTTCCTATATTTTTTAGATGTCTCGGGCTCGATCCTAATGTTGACATGTTTATATGCATGTGTGTATTTAATTTGATCATAATTTAAAAAAAAACATGCATTCTTTTCTCTTTTTTTTATAGGAAAAAGTTTAAATGTATTAAGTTTTGAGAATTCACTGAAATTAAGACATATATTCAAACTCAGAGTACTTAAAAAAGTAATTACCTATCAATATATAATAATTTTTTAATTTTCCACTCAAACGAACTTGTAATATTATTATTCAAATTGTAGACTTATCACTGTTATAATGTTTTAATTAAAAATGTTATACTAAGAATATAACAAAATCCATTCAAACATATTTTTCTCTAAAATTTATCATAAAAATTACGAGTTAATTTTTAAAAGAAACAAATCCAAGGGGATCCGGATAAAGCTTCAAACGTATTAAAAGATCTTTTTTTTTTTGAAAGATCAAAATATTCCAAAAACTTGTAAATGACAAAGACATATACATAAATGTGTTCACTACTTCACTTGGACTACACACTTTATAATATTCTCTCTTTCCGTAGGTCCTTTCACAAGCAAGTGGAGCGACAAGATAAGAAATATTAGAACAATCATGTGTCCTTCACGTGGTATATCTAAACATGAAAGTATGGAATATTTTGTATTCTGCATACTACCTCTTGATCCATAATACAGACTTTTAATAAATATTTCTCAGCTCTAAAAAAATGAGTTGACACTCTAATCTTTTAAAAAAATCACATATCTTTCTAATTATACTATCACCAAATGACTTATATAAGTTCCTTAATATTAGTAAACAATTTAAAAAATAATAAATGAAATATATGTATTATTAGAAAAAAAAAATTATAAGAATTACTTAATGTCCTATATTTTGGACCAAGCATGACTTTTTTTTTAAAAAAAAATCCATATTAATGTGAGGGATTAGAGGGAGCATATAAGTATCTCAAGTTCCCAACCCAGACATTATTCATCATAAATTAATTCAGCTAGCAATATAATACACACACACACACACACACTTTACATTGACTCAGCTTACATGACCTGAGTTTTTGTCCAGAGTTCAATCCAAGTCGTTTAGATTTTTTATCCCCCCACTAAGTCAAACTACTGGGTAACTATAAATTATGTATTTGCAGAATCTATTAAACAATAACTAAATAAGTACTAATTTATCCACTCAAAGTGATGTATTCAATGTAAATATGGTGTACGAAGAGAATGGGTGCTGACTGCAGAGAGTTTTACGCTTACATTGTAAATCCCACCCATTTAATACCGGTCTGTTTGATTTTGTGTTGGCAAAATTGTGGTTAGAGTAATATTGATTTGCAAACATGATTTAAGGCAAAATTGAGGTTAGTCAAAATTAAAATTGACCAAAAGCAACTACATGTTACTTCTTTCCCAATCATAATTTTGAACTGAAACGTGATTTAAAAAAAAAAAAGCATATGCTGTTTTGTTTTGACATTTTTAATTGTGATTTTAAAAATTGTACTGTTTGATATCCATTCTCAACAATACATAATTTGAGCTTCAAAACCATACCTTTTGGCTTTCCAACACTAACCAAACAAAAACTTGAGGCCAATTGAAGTTTTCATGCTGGAACTTCTCACATAAGTAAAGTGAGGATATTGGGGTTTGAATAAAAGGGATGACCAAAACCTCCGAAGACAATAAGAGAGAAACAAATATTCTATTTGTCTATATATTAATAAACTGTAATTATAAGCAATTAGTGACAATTAACCTAAGTATCAGAGAGGGAGGGGGGAGACAGGAATTACCGACAATAATGAAAACTAGATCACATCAACTATAGATCACAAAAGTCACTCAAGAAAAAAAAAAAAAAAAAGGATAAAAAGCACCATGTATTAAGAATTGTAACAGGAGGGCACATAAATATCTCTACAGGAAGTTGCTGAATCAAAATGCCTGTAACAAGCTCCATCCTAGCTAGACATCATCACATGATCAATCGCATGAAGTGCTTGGTTAGAGAAATATCGCACGTCCACATCTGGGTCCTCGCTGAGCTCAACCAGACAGGGACGAATAGTCTTCTCCACCACCTGAGTAACAAAACAATGGTTTTTGCAGAATAAGAGTATGACAATAACACCAATCCAAATCCTGATTACGTATGATGGACAGGGAAGAAAAAGAGTGGAATATGTCCCACATAGCAGTCTTATACTTCTGCATCACTTTTTCTTTGAATATATGAATACAACTATAACAAACCTCATTCCACTATGTAAAATTGGTTACATAAATTGTACAATGTCATTGTGTTCTATTAAAAACCAAATCTCTAAAGATATTGTTAACCAAAAGATTCCTTTACAATAATTTCATTTATTGATGGAAACTTAGTAGTATGGGATACCAAGTCCCACATCGAGTAGCATGGAGATGCTCAATGGAATATTTAAATGAGTTGGTTCTACCACCTCAATAGCTAGTTTTTTTGGGTTAAGGTTTTTCATCCTGCTTAGGTACCCATCAATTAGTATCAGAACTAGGTTGTTAGTTCTTCCAAAGAGGGTTACCCATGAAGGGTTTTGACTAGCAAAAGATCAAGTTATGTATCATGGAGTGCAGCCACTAGGATGTCAGCTTTCCATGGGAGGCCAATTGATGGAGACTTGATGGTATCGGATACCAATTTCCACATTGAATAGTACGGGATGTTCAATGAAATATTTAAGTGAGTTGGTTCTGCTACCTCAATAGTTAGCTTTTGAGATAGGGTTCCCCATCCCACTTAGGTACCCATCATGTTCTCTTTGGTCTTTTTCTATTCCTCTTTGAATATATGAATATATTACTAAATTATAAAGTATGATCTAATTTGTACACAAAACAGTACATGTAGTTTCAAGAAAAAGAAATTAAGATAAGGTATCGGATGCTTACAGACTGATCAACTATGGGGAAGATGGACTCTAAAACCTTGGCCACGTTGAACTTTATGTTGGGCACCCTACAGGAAGCAATCAGGCAGTAATTACAAACTGAACTAGATTGAACCTTACCCCTATAAAATGACAGTTCAAAAACAAGTAACCTGTCTTTTGATGCAGTAATCACAACAGGCAACAAGTTTGAACAAGTGATTTCAGGGCCCATAACAGGAGCAAGCATAGAGACAGTGCGAAGTATTGTCATGCGATACAAGTAGTGTGAATTGTTGACCATGTCCAAAACCTGTCCATAATTCATAGAGTTGCATTCAGAAAAACAGCAGATAAAAATGCATATATTTTAATACAAGGCAAGGCATCTCGGCCTACAAAAGTGGACCAACTATAAACTGACTGCGCATTGTGACTCAGTCAATAATCTAAGACAAAAGATGAACCTGCGGAATTATGTGCTGCATAGCCCACTCAGGACCAAATTCTTCTGCAAGACGCTTCAGGTTGTTAGAAGCCGCATCACGAATTGAATGAACCTGCAATAAACACCAAAAAATGAAGATTAAGAAAAACAGAAGTGTGGAACATAAGGTTCCCTAACCTTTCCTCAGGAAGCCAGAAAAAATGCTATTTTGTTTTACTAGGAAGGTCAAAGCAAGACAAGGGCCTTCACAAAAGCAGTGAAAAATGAAAATCTACTGTATAAAAATTCAAAGTCCACACACACAGGAGTGGGTAACATGCTAACTCCATTACACTAGATGTGAAATAGGAAGCAAGAACCTTATCCTGCAACCACTGCATGCAGAGAGCGCCAAGCTTGTCATCAAAAAATGCAACACCCAATTGACTTGCCAACAAGGGGATATATTCTATTATCGCAAGCCTGACTCTCCAATGCCTATCCTCAGCAAGCTCAACAATTGCTGGCAACAAAGATTGAGATAATAGATCGATTCCAATAACCTGCAAATATGCAGCCTCATCAGCTTTACTTCAAGAAATTGGCTTTCTTTCCATGCCTTTTTCTTCTGCCTGTATAGGTGAAGCAGAAAGTATGGGCAATATAAATAAAAGCATTGATTATGTGTGGTAGAATTTAGAACATCATTAGAAGGGGGGAAGGGGGGGACAGAAGCAGGAGGTTTGAAAGGATAACCTGATTCACTTGATCGAGTTTGCTTATAATGTTTAAGCGCACATCAGGAAATTCATCCTTCAGAAGGGAAAGGAAAATTGGAAGGAGCTGCTCAATTGTTGCATCCTAAAATAACAAAACGGTAAGGCTTAGAAGTCACATTTGCACATGAGCTTACTTGAACAGGATCTGTTCTACAGGCTTGTACTCCAGTGTCCTTGAGTTTAAAGGAGACGACAACCAAGAAGTCAAATTCACACAAAAAGAGACTACTTCACAATAAGCTCAGGCTAGATTTTAGAGGAAAAAACAGCAATAATAGGAGATCAGTTGCACCATTTGAATTTTTACAATATACAAATATCACTTTAAGATTTTATATTATCTAACAGAAAAGGCCAGATAATGCCACAGAGAATCCTCAAAAATACACGAGCCTTCTCATGACATTAATAAACAAAGAAATCCATAAAAAGGGCATGATCTGGGGGCCAAACCCAAAAATAAATGCACGTGACATTACAATGATAGCATTTAGATAAGCTTTCATTTTTCCTAGTTTGTCTTCAACAAGGTAGGAGACCTTGATGCTTTGCACTGAACCTAAAATTAACAGTCAGACTGGTTAGGAAAAGGCAGGGATATTAAAAAGGGGGGATAAATCTGGAAAACTGCAGTACAGGTCATAAAGATCACAATATGAAATAACTCCTATAGTTTTAAAAGCCATATTTATGGACACTAAATGATTTAAGTTTTCACATTTAATGGCATCAACGTTAATCAGTAAATTCATCTGAGAGATTAGTAATGCATGCTCTACAGCTGAGAACACTAAATGGCATGTTTATAAAAGGCATTAAATGATGTATTTAACTCCATTAAGGAAAGGGGGAAATGCAGGCGCTGAAAATAATGTAAACACCACCAAAACAATATCTACGTCACCTCACATAAAATGTAGAAGCAAATTCCTACCAATGCCACAATAACTGCAGATACTGTTGCATGTATGATACTTATACCTTTCCTAAAACTGGAGCCATTCCCATTATCACTGAAGCCAAAGCAGATCGAACATGTTGTGAAGAATCTGATGACAGTTCCTACGAGCATTGATGCAAAAGATTGAAATAATTGTGAGGTAAGGCACAATATATATAACTTCTAGATACTGAATTGTATGACCAAAACATAAAAGGTTGCTGTACATTACAAAGGTAAAATATAAATGCATCATAATATTTTTTTCTTCTATTTTTAATTCATCTACACCTTTACACAAGGAAGAATATGCTGAATTGCAAGATCTGGATCTAAAATCCGGCAAAACTTTGTCACTTTTCCAGCAGCTGCTATACGTACTTCAGCCTCGTTATCCCGAAGTAACCGAACATAAGCAGGGACCAATTCAGCCCTGAACAGTTATGGATGAGATTCTTAAAATAGTAAAAGAAGATTAATAGATACACCTTCAAATCTGGGCCATATTAAACCTAGAAAATCAATACAGAAATAATAAATTTTGGCATTGAAATAATCATCATTAACGTCACATTTAACAAACAAATGTAAATTAATTAAGAAATAACAAATTTTGGCATCAAAATAATGTTGGCATCTAATAATCATCATTAATTATCATTGTGAAAAAAACTATACTTCATGTAGGATTTATTTATCTAAATTAATTATCATTAATAGAAGAGACAAGCACCAGATGTAACCAAAAGATAATACCTGGTAGGTTCAGGCCCTACAGCTTCACAGAGCTCATACAATTGATTTGCAACCATGTAACGCACTCGCCAAGATTTATCCTGTCCAAGGTCAACTCAAAGTTCACCAGACAAATAAGAATAAAAATTTGCAAACATTTGAAACTCATTAATATACTTAACAATGAACAATCAAAACACATTTAAGTAAATGAGAGTCCCTGGACTTAATTGATGCCCGATGCATTTAAAACGATTTACTTATCCACACCACTTGCCCTATACATAGCAGAAAAGTGTAAACTTCCCTGGGCAATCACACCTTAAAATTTCAAGCCTAAAAATACCCTCTCCTCTATATGGCTTTTCAGTAAAACCAAGCATTCCTTAACATTCTTGCATATGAATAGTCTATAGTCATAAATTACAAAAGTGGACACTGCAAAAATAACCAAAAAAAAAAATTCTTTAAAAAGGCATACTAGTACACCAGGCCACTAAATTAATGATAGATCAAAATCAAGATCTTGAAAAGAGAAGAGACTTGAGTTATATATACTTTCTTGTTTTACTTCCAAAAATATACCTGAGAGAAGTTGACAATAACTGGGAGGATATGAGCAACACAATCTTGAGGCTCCAACAGCTTGCCAAGAGAAGCACAACCCTCCACAGCCAACAATCTAACAGAATCTTGATCTGAACAAAAATAAGAAGCATATATAGAATATAGTCATGCACAACCTGAAGAATAAAGAACTCTACAAGATAGAAGCAGCATAGCATGGTAGGTATATAACTGCTCAATTACCATCCTGTGTAAGATCCTCAAAAATTGACATGACATCCGCCTTCAGATAAGCATATTCAACAGTTGCAGCAAATTTTCCAAGATTGGATGCAGCAGACCTTCTAACCATGGGCATGTCATCTTGACACAGCTGATTGTATATTGACCTCAATTCCGTCTTCAACATTTCAGGTGCACTTGGGTATGCAATATGAAATAGTCCACAAGCTGAGACTCGGGCAGTAAACCACTCACCCGCTGCCAGTCTCTGGAACAGAAACATATGTTTATTTAGAAAGATTTTCAAGAAACATAATGAATGATAACTAGCAGGATACAACAACACAAAAATATATGAACATGTATTTTTACACACTCAGGTGTCATGGCCATGTGGCTGTGTGATATAAGGCAACCTCTACCCCTTTAGGCATCATTCAAGTTAACCAAGATCCACAAATCAATCTCTTTTTACACAAGTACAGTAGCAACTTTTTGATATAACACAGAAAAAACCCTGGTAGAGAAATGAATGCAAGTAATCAGAATAATGGTGCATCTTGTGAAAAGATCAAATTTTATATATAAGCCTCCAGGTTGCAGGTTTAAAGCAATAAAAGTATGTTGTACTGAAGGAAACAAGTGTTATCTCACCTTCACCAAAGGGATAAACCAATCAACCAAGTCACTCTCCCTCATTTGAGATCCAATTCTACAAAGTGATTCCACAGCTTTATCTCTTACACAGGTTTCCTCAACAGTGCAAAGTGTCTCCAGAGGTGACAGCAATACATTGGCATGTTCCACCCCACCAACATAGGGTATGAACACTCCCAACTCCTCTGCCATTGCAAGGAGTACCTCATCATCATCATCATTGTTTTCACTCAAAAATGGAATTAATTCCTTCCGGGTTCGCTCCTCCCCAAGAGCACGTGCTATGGTTGACAGCCTGCGAATTGAGTTTAGCCTTAGTTGGATGTCATCATTTTTTAGCTCGTCTATAAGCACTGCTATTGGATAAAGTGGCTCATCAACCAGAGACATTTTGTTTCCAAGCTATCTGGCAGAATGAACAATTTAATCAATTGTTAGAAAAGAAGTACATCAAATATAGCCATCAGTTCTCAAAACAATATTAGATTATTAGTTTATGACGCAGACACCCTACTGTTACTCTCAAGCAACCAACTTAAAGATATCAGCACGCCACATCTAAAGGATCCCAAAAGTTGGCCCAAAAAATTTTAAAAAAAGGAAAGGAAAGGAAAGGAAAGGAAAATGGAGAAAATGTTGGGCCAGAAAACTAGAATGGCAAAAACCCGGTGTTGCAACACAAAATCTAGAATGGCTGTTTAGGGAAACCAAAACGAGGAAATAAAAATATAGAATTCTCTAGTCATTCGGTCTCGCACTACATCCAGGTTGCAAGCAAAATTGCAGGTATCATAAAATTAATGCTTCAAATCTTTCGCGAGAGATCTAGTAAAAGATTAATTGGTTAAGAAGCCTGACTTTTTAGTATATATACAGCCAAGACATCGCCCCTTAAAACCCATGAACGCAATATTTTCTTTCGATTTCAATAAAACCTAAAAAGTCCAGATCATGAAGCATCAAAATTTTGGTAACTTCTTAGCTCCTCTCCCAGCTTACTTTGCAGCCAGACAGGGGATTTGATTCAATTTAGTCCAATTGACAGTGGAAGATGTCTCAATTAACGATAGAGAAACTAGAAATCCATTTCCAATAACAAATCAGTGAAATGACAAGTAGAAAGCACCGTACCGATCGCACTGTGTTCCCGCCGGCCGCCTTAGATTCCAAAACTTGGACGGCCACTGCTAGGAGAGAGAAGGACGGACCAAGAAAGAGAAACTAAGAACAAACAGTCGAAAAATATATAGGCAATTTTACGGTCGACTTTTTCTTCGGCAATTGGCATGGAAATATGGAACTTTTCTTTGGATATGTTTTCAAATTTTAAAAAAATGCTTATAAATTACCTACCGGTAATAACGAAATTTGTTTAAAAAAATTAAATAACAATAAAATTTTTTTAAAATATATAAATAATAATTTAATTTTTTAAAATGTCTTAATTTTTTTAAAAATTTTAAAAAATTTTTTTATTATTAATAAATTTATATAAATTATTAAACTATTGTTGTTGAAAATAAATTATTCACAAATTTTATTTAAATATTCACAATTTTTATTTTTATATTCATAATAATGTAACAATAAATTATAATTTTACATATTAAATTTTTTATTTAATATTATATTATTATGAATATAAAAAAAATTATAAATATTTTGACAGAACTTATGAATCATTTATTTTTAATAAAGATAATTTGATAATTTAAATAAATTTATTAATGATAGAAATTTTTTTAAAAATTTAAAAAAATTATAAAATTTTGATAAACCCAATTGTAATCTAGATATTTAAAAAAAATTATTATTATTTTTCTTGAAAAAATAATAAAATTTGAATTCACAATCTATAGATTATAGTTAAATTATTACCAATAAATATGAAATTGTACAAATGCTATTTTTTTTTAATAAAATTCTACAAACGTTAAACCGTTGATAGCATTTGATTTGAAATACCCTGGGTAACTTTTAAAATAAAAAATTAATCATTAGGAGAATTTCAACTAAGAATGGCATGTGACTTAATTATTAATGGGTTTAAAAAAAATTAAAACTTCATTTCAATATAAGAGAACTAATGTAATATCTCAATTTTTAATCTCTTAATTTTCTAATCTTAATTAGGATAATTAAGTAAACTATAGTGATATTTGATTAGGGAGGTCTAATAATCATATTCGATTGAATTTCAGTCCTGATAGTAGGTCCGATATCAAGTTGGGCCAACTGCGCATCAAAAGGAGAAAAAATTGAAGAGTTAAGATTGATGTGCCACATGCAACGGCACACAGACACTTCAAATGCAAAATGAGGGCCTTTCTATGCCATGCGTCATAGTACATTCTGCATCTGTCACAGCGCATGGTCATTTTCTACAGATATTAGTTACAAAAATGAGACAAAAATAAAAAGAAATAAAGGAGAAAACAGAAGAGGTGAGCCAAGCTCTACTAAAGTTTGTTTTTGGATAACATTAGGAGTATTTTGAAAGTTATAAATACCTACGGTGAGTACCACACTTATTAATTTCTCTATCTCTTCCACATTTATGAGTTTATGATTAGGTTTTGAAAGTGAAAGTGGATTTTCGGTCTTTATAAGTTATGAGTCTGAATTTATTAACTTAAATGGAGTTAATGAGAGTAGATTGAAATATCTAAACCTAGGTATAATGAATTTTGGTGCCTTGAGTTGTAGGTACCATAAATATTCAAAATTTGCATTTAATATGGGTTGTTAGAAAAGTGTGATGCCATTAATAAAAGTTTAATGATTCATTAATGTTATTGGGGACCCAAAATAATTCATAAATTCAATGGGTAGGCCTAAGTGTAAGCAATGTGGGCATTGAGTGAGTTAGAGATGAAAAGTGAGTTAACAATTGTGTGTGATTGACTTTGTTGATAAAGTTCAACTTGGTCGATTGTAAATTTAGCTCTTGAACACCTATTTGGCTTGATAATTCAAGCTTGAAAGCTATAACATTGAGGGATAAATTTTTTACCTCTTAAAATTTTAAAGTAACCAGGGTAATCCTATTTTAGGTAAATATATGTTAATTGATTGCAAATTAATTTTTAATTTTAAATGTTGCATGCGTGGATTGATTTTCAATGTGAAAACATATATTAGCTTCAATAAGTGTATGAAAATTTGAATGTGCATAATGTTATTTTTGGCTTGAAATACAAAATGTGAAAAGAAAATAGTTTTGGACTATGAACATGTATATGTCTTTGGGAAGATGAATGTGATGTTGTGTTGAGGTAAATGTGTGTTGATGAAGAAATGAATTAGGGTGATAAATGAGGAGAATGTGATGAAATGTTATTGGATGCTCACTTGGGTAGCACATAATCATGAACTCAATGTGTGAATGTGATAAACAATAAATGAAAATGTGAAAATGAGTAAATATTGTTTATAACATAATTAATGGGCAGGAGTTCACCTAGGAATTGAGAGTAGAGAAAAATTTATATAGTATTCAGGCTTCTCTCCTATGCACAAGGGTATAGCATTATTTTGCAGTTTGTCAAAGAATGTCTCATAGTTTGTCAAGGGACTATAACCTAGCTTTCTCCACTAGTTCAACAAAAAGAATAACTTAAGGTATAAGACACCCTAAAGATTCAAGAATGGGAAAAGTCATGGTTCGAGAGTGAGTCATAAGGTCTTTGGGTGAGTTACACCTCATGATTGATGAGTTAGGATAGTCCAGTCATACGGATGAAGCCCTATTCAATGTTATAACACACGATTTCAATTTAAGAAAATAAGGAGGATATAAGGTTGGTTAATCATTGCCTAAGTAAATATATGACGTGTCACACATTGAGTTATGGCAAGTTGCATGAATAACGGGTCATGGTCACATATAGATGTGATAATGCACCTAGTGTATGCAAGATAAAGATATTATAAAATGAGTTATGTTGAATTATGATGTATGTAAGCATGTTCTAAGTACTTGATTTCATATACATATGCTTGGCTTATAATTGATATATAACTGCATAGGGTAGGTTTTACATTGGTTATTAAGTTGCTAAACTCATTCTTTTATTTAACGCTTTTTAGGTTCTAGCTCTAATGCAGAAAGGGAAAAAGCTCAAGAAGTTAGAAATTAGTACATTTCTATTATATGCCTCTAGCTTAGATTTATTTTGTGTAATAGAATTTGAATGCTAATTTTAGGTTGCATGTCATAACACTTGTACTATTTTATTATTATAAATATTTGATTCTTATTTTGAGCCCTGAGTAATTGTGTACGGTGAGATGTATACGCTTATAGGGCCAAAATACTAATGCAAATATAGAAATAATGTTTTAAGCATGTTACAATTATTTTTGATAAGATGAAATGGAAATTTGCATCCCCCTCAACTTTTGGTGAAAAGAGGTTAAGGAGTGGATTTATGTTATACTATTATTTTGGTGTGTGTGACGTGTTGTGCTAATAGTCCTAGGTCTAATGGATACGATTCATGTGTTAGGAAAGATTTTTAATACTTGTTGAAAGTTTTGAACACCTTTTTTATATGAAAGTTGTGAAAAGTAATCAAAATATGTTTGGGTATCCAACTTTCTAGTGTGACTTGTTTTGAAAATGAAACCAATGCCATTAGCTAGTTTATGTAAAAAACTTTCCATAAATACCTAAATCACATCATTCAGACGTCAAACGAAGAATCGGGACATGTCAAAAGTTTTTCAATTCTACTGTCAAATGACAGCAAAAATTGCTGATTTTTACGTGCAACATGCCGCAGCCATGGCACCTAAGCTGCGACATATTGCTTTATTTCATATCATATGAATTGTTTTTTACTTGTTTTCAATTTCTTTTACTCTTTTGAGGTATCTCATGCTTTTATAACCTGCTTTTACTTAAATATAAGAGATCTTAATTGTTTTAAACTCTTTGTGATAATGAAAACTTGGGATTCCTTAATTTTGAATTAAAACTTAGTAATCACTCTTGAGCTAATCCTTTAATTATCATAAGTTATATTGGTTAATTATGGTTAGTGAACTGAGATATTATAACTAAAGTAAAAATAATTCTAATGATAAAAATATCAAATTATCATTCACTTGTTAACTTTATTTGAGATGTAGAATTACTAGTTATTAATTTTTTTACTTAATTTTAATGGTCAAAATAATTATTAGTTGTAAATTCATTAATTTGTCATACAAGCAGCAACATCAGTTATTAATTTATTAACTTTACTTGTTAATTTACTACTATCAATTGCTAGCTTTACTGTTAGTAATTTACAACTGATGTTAGTAAATTTAGTAAATTAACAACTAATATTACTATTCATGATTGAATAATTGATGTTCAAATTTTGTATGATTATTGAAAGGTTAAGTCATATAATTTATAATTCATATTAATAAATTAACAAGTAAAGTAAAAAAATTAACAATTAATAATTCTATATCTCGAACAAAATTAATAAATGAAGAATACTTTAATCTTTTAATTATTGAAATTATTTTCATGTCAACTCTCCTAGACTAAACTAAAATTTTAAATTTTTTTGGGAACCCACTAATAATTAAGTTACATCCCTGATTCTTAGTTAAAATTCTTCGTTAATCATTTGCTGCAAGTCAATTGTTATAATTTTAATCATTTTTTATTGCTTTAAATTTAATTATTTAAAATATTGATCATTATATTTAAAAAATAAAATTATAAAGATCACATTTTTTTTGGAAAAAACAACAAAATAATACTCCCACCATTTCTATTTATGACAAAAAATATAAATTTTAGCTTTTTTTTTATGTAAGAAAAATTACATTTTTTAAATAGACATTTATTACAAACATTTTAAATTATCCTTCATAATTTTATTATTTATAGTCATAGAAAATAATTAATAAAGAATCGATTAACATAATTAATAAAAGGTATTGTAGTTCAATTTTTTATTTTCAGACACAATTAATATATTTAATTAAATTTTTTAAAATGTATAATATAATTTTTTTATAAATAAAAATGGAGGGAGTAATAATTATGAGGCACTGAGCATGTGCTTTGAATAAAATCAAAGTTGCCGACCATTAAAATAAAACCACAGTTAAAATGTAATGCAATAATTATGAGGTACTCGTAGATATTATGCATAGATAAAATTGTTAACTGGTTGTAAATACTAATAAAATAGCTTTGGGTAACTTTTATGAATATCCCGACATTAATTGAGAGCAAATGATATTATTTATAAATTTTAAATAATGTAACTTAACCTAAA